GAGGTGACGACTGCACTTGCTTGGCCTAGCATCCAAGACATGCCTATTTTCCAGCAGTGGAGATCGCCATCTCTATATGATTGAATAAACGAAACATTATTCAAATAAACAGTGATTGCGATGGTATAGAGTCCCGTCAGAAAATCACTGAATGCCATGTTACATACAAACAGCATGCAGACGTTGTTACGAAGACGYCTGGAGGTGATGATGTTCAAAAATGYTACAAAATTTAAAACGACCGACAGCCCACCCAAAAATGATTGACAATTCATCGCAACGAGAATCGCATCCCAGCATATATTGACCGAGCTTACGAAGGCGAAGTAATTGTGACGTACACAGAGATTTTGATTCTTGCATCGAAATTCGAACTGTGTTTCATTCAGCATTTGAAATAATGGCGACGTCACATTGACGCCCTTTTTAACTACATTACAAAACCTTATAATAAAATAGCTTTCCATTTGAGTTTCGTTATGACTTCTGAAAAACAAACAATTGACACATTCATCTGACCAGGTTAAGCCTATGATACTTCGGAGCATGCGCAGATGAAGAAAGTTCTTTTCTGGTTTCCAGTGCTCTATTCCTGTAGCGTCGAGGGTTGACAGCGAGGGGAATAAGCCTGACAAGTTGCCAGTAAAAGTTCGAAGTGGGTTCATGGAGAGATTCCTAGTGGGGAAAAAAACATTCAAACTTCAACACAAGTAATGACAGTGCAGGTGTGTGGCTTGTGCCCATGCGCAAGTCTAAGATCCCATAATAGARAGGAATGATGTTTGGTACTTACAGAGTGGTGAGGCTGTCGAGACCATAGAATACTTGGTATGTCAAAACCTGGAAATCGTTGTATGCGAAGGACCTTTATAAAGTGAATGAAAAATCATTGTCAAGATCATAGAATGCTTGGTTTGTTAAAACATAATAATAATAATAATAATAATAATTTTATCTTATTTTAGCAAGATCTACATACACATACTCAAATGCGCATCACAGGCAATAAACTAAATTATAATAAATATACATGTATATAACATAAGTAAAAAGTAAATATATGTAACGTACAAATAAAATAAAAAAAGAGAAAAACAACCAGCTTTCATCACAATAAAAAAAAGTGATGTTTAATAGACGGAACTGTTCAGATTGGCTGTAATGAGTTTTTTCCCCTCYCTTAACACACATTTGAGTTGCTTCCGTTAGACTCTTTTTTACATAGGTTTTCCCCCAAGATGCTACTAATGTGGGCACAAAGTCCAACAGAGAGTGCTATTATCTAGGAAATGACAGGAGGTCTGAAATGGAAAAAGTATTGGTACTAACTTGAATGGGTACTGTTCTACTCAAGTGTGTTTTCCGGTTGATTTTGATCTACTTCGACTAATAGTTCTCGACTTACAAGTATTTTATTCCACTGAACAAAGACAGTGCTCCTTCTGTGATATTCTTTAGGCTGTTAGAAGATAGATCTCTAAGGAAGAAACGATAATAACAAATGATTGATAATACGTAAGAGTGCTACGAAAGGATACAGTTTGAATGTTTGAATGTATGACGTCACAGCGTAACAACGCTGTACATAATAGTGAGTCACTCAAATTAATGGCGGATGAAAATAAATCGTAAAATTTTTGCTCTTTCGTTTCAAATATGAGAAAGATATTTCAATGAGTGGTTCTTAATGTATTCAAGATTATTTCAGCAAAGTTCCAGCTCGAATGAAAGAGTTTTAATTTTGGAGCGATTTAATTTTCGTCCAAGTTCTCTTTAAAGTAAAGTAGTTTTTTCAGTTGCAATGCCATCAATTGACACTGAACACAAGTAGCATTACCTTGATGATTAAGAACATCGAGGCTTAATTTCATGAAAGGCCAAGGACAAAACACGCAAAAAGAAAGCATAGTTTTTGTATTTTCAAATCTTGAACTAATGTATATTCTAAATTTTATCTTGTCGACTTTTTATTCTTAAATATTAAGAGGATATTTTAAAGAGATTTTGAAATTGTTGTAATTCATATTCTAATTTATATTCATGAAATTTCAAGTTRCTAGTTTGATTTTAGTATCATTATTTTTATCGACTTTTTATTCTTAATACTGAGGATTTTTTAAAGGAGAT